TGGTTCTGCTTGTAGAAAATAGAAATAATATACTAGTGTGTGTGTGTGTGTGTGTGTGTGTGTGTGTGGTGAAATTGATTATGAGGTATCGCAATTACATGTTCACCAAATCTTGTGTGTAAAAAATAAGACACTTAATCTGAGAAGGCTTCATAAGATCAGCATGGAACAATAAATCCCTTTATTAAGGTAAAAAACGTGTAACATACTAAAATTGCCATACGGTACTGAGATTAGTAGCTACATGTAAGTGCACACTGATTTTGTTTTTGGTCATGTTAAAAATTAGGAAGGCTTCAGGCTGAAGATTACATTGACAGCTCAAGAATTTAAGAATAAAAATATCAAAAGTGGCAAAAGCTTAAACTAGGACTTTGGTATATACACAATAAATTTCAGAAACTATATATATATATATTTTTTTTTTTTTTATCTTACTGTACCTTGATAATATTTTTGCTCCTGCACGTCCCACATGTCTGCTTTAAGTTAACTTTCTTTTTCAATTGTTGATGTAATGCTTGTGATTCCTTCTCACAAAAAGAAGCCAATCCGTTGCAAAGCTCTTTGAGGCACTGTGCTCCTTTTAACCAGTTCTTATAACCTTTATCATTCAGGCGCTTCAAAAATTCTTGGTTCCCTGGAGGCTTTGCTTGGCTTGTTGGTGATGCCATCTTCTGTGATTTTTTAATCTATGTGCATATAAAGAGAGAAAGTATATTATATATAATAAAATAAGGGGAAAAATAGCTACCAGTATTTTGACAAATTTTGGCCTTTTTAACTAATGCACATGTATTGATTTCCCATTTTCAAGGTTTTAATCTAATCTTGTACTTAGTATAGATTTTATTCACTCCCTTCCCACTTTAAAAACTTATATACTACAGTATTTAATCAATATAAACACATCTTAATTCAACATTGATACAAATACAGTACATGCAACGTACGAGTAGAATTTGTCCACTGTATTATAATTAGACATATGTACGTAAGATATAATGTACATGTATAACCACATGTACTACCGGTATTATAATGCAGGGGAAGCCAGCTAGACACATACAGTACATGTACTACAGATGTACTACCACATACTCCTGGTAGTACCGTATGCCCAGTACACTGTACTGTACTTAATCAGATTAAAGTATTTTGCCTATACAAATATTTTGCCTTTTGTAAAGTGCACTGATCGTAAGCAAAAATATACTCACGGCACATTCGACGCCCTAATACTCAATAGTACTGCCAGCTACACCAGATCAAACTCACGTTAGGCCACACTTTTTTATTTTTATGGATGACATCCTCTGGGGACCCCAAAATCGGTGCGAGCGGGCGAAAAAAAAAAAAGTCCAAAAAAATGTTTTCAGTACACAGCTCTAATTTACCACAGAAACACGTATCAAACTAACAACATGTCTTTATCCATGCTCTCAAAATATTAAAGCATTGTGAATAGGGCCTACTTCGCAGAAAGGTAAAAAGTCTTGAATATATATATGCTGCATATTACCAAATGTATTTAAGGTTATTTCATGCATTCTGTTGGTATAACAATCAATAAAACAAATATCAAATAAACAGCGTCTTTATTTGTACTCTCAGAAAATTTAAGCATTGTAAACACTTCACAGAATTGTTAAAAAATGAAGCAAAGATAGGCCTTTGCTTCCTACTACCAAATCTAAAAAAGGTAATTTTGTCTACTTCGACTCACACGTAACAGCCAACTATCGGGTGGCCTGTCCGACCTTCAGTCCACCAAATACCACGACGCTCTTGTCGACCCTTTTTTCGCTACAAAAAAAAAAAAACAAAAAAAACAAAAAAAAAAAAAAAAACTGGTAAGTCTATGTGCTGCTTTGGACAGAATGTCACTGAAATTTTCCGGGCGATGATCGCTTGCCGCGGCCAGCCTTTCGTATAATTGTAAAAAGGTGATATCTCAATGGCAAACCAATCCAAAACGACGGCCCCCGTTCTCTTTATGACTTTTATTGTCGTGTATTTTGAAATTAATTCTAGAGATGAATTTGACGGCAAAGCGGCCATATTTCCACGTGGTGATAATACGCATGAGCAGAAAGCTCATTTTCCGCACTCGGAACTACTCGATGTCTCCGCAGTCGACAATGACAGCATGGAGCTTGCGGAATCAGCCGAGGATTGCCGATTGCATTTTCCGGCAAATTCAATCACGACGTTTGCGACAACCGACTTCCTTGGGGGGGGGGGGGGATGTTTTTTTTTTTTGGGAGAACGGACGAAAATCGGTGCGCGCGCAGGATGTCATCCATAAAATTTAAAAAGTGTGGCCTTATCAGGATGACGTCAACGACATGCGAAAGCGAAAGAATATTTTATCAACTCTTTCATTTCATACGAAGAGAGCACACTTGTGCTAAAAGGAGGGTAAAAATCTAAGCAAAAAATAAAGATAAAAAATCACAGCCCTGTCAAGCGACTACTATTCTGCTTTGATCAGCAAAATTTTCCTCAAGCTCCCCTCTTGTTGGGAATTCCCAACTTTCTTTGCTTGCACCGCCATCTACTGGTCTGTCACTGTTGCTATGGAATGACAAAGGTCAAACAACATGGCGACTGCCATCAAGAGTGAAGAGTCGCGATTGTTCTGCTAGAATTACGTTAAACATAGCGCTTTAAATGGTTTGACAGTGGAAATTTGAGTGAATGATTTAAGTCCCCGACTCAACACCGCAAGATGGTGTTCAGCGATCAGAACAATTCGCGCAGCGGCGTACAAATGCGAAAATCCCGAAGTCAGGGATTGCGGTATTTGGGTCTTGATCTTTCATACGAAGACCGCCAGCGTCAGTTCGCTTCCGATGCAAACATTGGTCAGGGATTTAAAGGTGAATTATTTTTTCATTAAGGTATTTATTGCTGAGGGTAAAAAATGAATAATGTTGTCACCAGACTGCATGCCAACTGTCCGCTGCAGATCCTAGGCTGGGATTTGTTTGGGTGATCATGGCAATTATGTTGCATTTGAAATCAATATCTAATTGTTTTCTTTTCGCATTACTCATTGATTGATACCAGTTTAATGTAATTAGCCTGAGAGACTGTAAGAATGATTATTTATTCATGGTCAATATGTTCATTGGCAGTACCTTTGGTTTATTTAAGGAAGGGCCATCAGAATTGAGAAATGATCACTTTGACCAATATGGCAGTGCAACATTTTATCTAATTTAGTGTAGGGTTTTAAGGGTTATGTCATTGTGGAAATTGGTAGATTAAAATTACATGATTGCACACTAACCTTTTAAAAGCAAAGTTGACATTACTAGTGATACTAGACTGACATATGTTAGGGTACAACTAGCGTATTGTTGTTTGGGGTAATAGTTTGTTAACTACCGGGTTAATTACAGGTATACCGTTTTTTTTTTTTAATTAAACATATTTAATAACTTATAGAATATTGACTTTATGATGGCAAGTATTAGTATATATATAATCATATTTAAATTTAAAATTAAAATTTTGATTTGAGATTCAAAGCAAATTAAAATTGTACATTGAAAGGGTCTACCCCAGTATTTCAATCTGTCTGTTTGTTTGCAGCTCACAAAATTGCCCTAGAGAGTAAGGAGTTTGCTGTTTTCTTGTACTTGTGGCAGTGTGTAGATTTTCATATTTGACTTAATTACAAGTTACAAGTAAAATTGTTTTATTGTGAATGTGTTTGAATCTTTACTTTACCCCCAAACCCCTGTCTTCCAAATTTATTTGCATGTAAGGTTCTGAGTTACAATTGAGTTTATTGTCATTGAATACTGTTACTGTCCATTTTTATGAGTGTGAAATGGTGATCTCTGTTCCCATATGCATGGTTTTAAATCTACAATTTGAAGTGCTGAGTTGATGGTACCCAGTATTATCATATTATTTCTCTTTTTTTCATGTTCCTCTTATTTAATTGTTTCTTCTTTTTTTATACTACTTAACTGGTTTTGTTGTCTGTATTTAGTTTTGTTTGTTATAACCCCCACCCCCTCCAAACACCTTTGTGCCGTGTTGCTGTGTGTGAATTTTGATGTAAATTACATTAAACTGGAAAATATAATTTCTTTTCTACAGTATATGGTACATTTTTTAAGGTATTGAAATTAAACTATAATTTGACTGAATGTAGTTACTGTTGTTTTATGGTATTTAAAAAGGTTGAATAAAAATCTGAAGATCTGAGATACACATACTGCATGTAAATGTTTTTGTAAGTGCTTTGTTAAAATACATAAAATTCTGTTTTCAACTAATTTTTCAGCTAGAAATAAGCTCTTCCATTTAGCCTGTTTAGAACCATTTGGTTCTTTTAAAATCCAAAGATGTGGTTTTGTGCACGTAGACCTAAATATACGCACATAATTCACACAAGGAACAGGACATTTTATGGTGATTTGCACAAAAGGCTAAGGATGATGTTTTTGCCAAGCCATTGAAACAAAAGTATTGGACTTGTACATGTGCATTGTATACCAAAAAGTGACCTTAATTGATAAACTATATGAACTTGAACAGGGTGTGAGAAATGTCTGTATTCACTGTATAAATGCAGGGGGTATGGTACATATACATGTTTTGTCGTTTCAAACACAGGCCATGAACACTTCTTAAAAATCAGAGGGCTTTTGTTTTAAACAGTTTTCAACGGGCACCGCTTATATCAAATACCCTTTTCTTAGTTTGAGTACAAGCCGCCTATTACTTGAACAAAGGGGTCCTCTTAGGATATAAAGTAACGTAAACATATTTGAAAAGTGCCACCTTATTTGATGTTGCGTGAGGATATTGTTAGTGTTGTGTGTTCTCTAAATACAGTCTGTTACAGGTGATGCCCTAAATATTTATGTTAGTCAATGAGACTTGTTTTTCTTTGGTCAGCTTAGTCTAGCGTGTTTAAAATGGTTAGCGACTGCTGTTTATTTGTGCTGGGTTCAAGTCATTATTCAGAAGACCGACGTGAGAAGCGTTACATGAACACATCAGTAGTTGCTAAGAAAAAGGGATTAACTAAGGAAAGATGTAATTTTTTGAGGAAAAATAGAGAAGAAAAACATTGATTCGTGACTTGCTTTGCTGAGAATTAGGAACATGACTTTGTTCCCAGAGAGACAATTTTAAAAAAGGATAAAATGCATGGAGAAGTGGAAATCTTACGCCAAAGGGTACAGACACTACCCAATACAAGTAGCAGTTTCAGAGACCAGACTTACCTATCCTTGCTTCTTAGTAGCTCAGGACCAAAAATGGGGAGAAAAAAGTTGACACCAATAGGTTGGAGATGTTTTTCTTTTTTTTTTTAATTTAATTTCAGAATCTTGCTGCTAATAGTTACTAATTTTTGTTTTATATGAGTATTGATAAATACAACCAATTACCATCAATTTAGTCAGAAATTTGGTATTTTTTCACAGTTATTTTTGTGTCAGGAATGGTTGAATATTATCAAATGTATTTAGAAATTGATTTGAGGTGAAGGCATGAAATAAAATTTATTAGATTTATTGATAATGCTCTCTAAACTCTAGTAATTCATGAAAATATATCAGGAAATGCTTAATTGACTTTTTAGGTAATTTAATGGGATGTTATACAATGTATTATATTTCTGTTACAGTTTTTTTTACTTAATCTTTTGATGAAATGTCGATTGTCACTTAAAAACTGTTTAAAAATGATTTTTTTTTTGGTTAAATTTCATTCAAAAATTCAATACTTTCAAATCTATAAATTACAGTTACCAGTATTTTTATCTCTTTTTTTTCATATTTTCATTTGTAAAGGATTTTTTAATTTAATTAAGTTTAAGTTAAATGTGCTTATATTAAACAAATGTCAGTTGTGTAAATTTAGTCCTAGAATTCATCACTTTTTTTCCAGAAAAGTCAACTAAACCTGACAACACCTCCTCTTATTCAAAACCACGATTAGTCTCAGTTCATTTTATAGTTCTTCGACTTAAAAATTTTATTTGAAAATTACCAAAATTTTTAAATAAATAAATTGCAGGAAGCAAGCGACACCCTCCTAGTCAGTACTCCTTTAACCACAGTGCGGAGTACCACCGAGAACTCCAAGATGACATCAACCACATTATGGAGGATGAGTTCACGGCAGAACATGGCACGCCAAAATATGTGATGGATATCAGCAATCAGGTCTCCCATTCAGGAGAGTCGCCGTTGTTTTTGTCAAAATTGCTGCCAGCAAACAAGGTAAGTGTGGGGTAGAATTCGCTTATAAAAATGAAGAATTTTTTGGTTGCTGAATTTGATAAAATATATGCAGTCCTTTTATAAATATTCATGAAATAATGATATCAGACAGGTTTTAAATTATTGTCAGAAAGTTTTTACTTTTTTTTAAGGGGTTTAATAAATGTTTGGATATAGGTCCAACTTTGTCCTTATTCTTGGTTTTTATTCTGATGTATAAGTTTTGAGCATGCCATTCTTTAATTTTTTCAAACATCTGAAGACAAAATATATCAAATTAAAAATATTCCGTAAAATTTCAGTTGGAGCAACGAAATGGCCCAATAAAATGGCACAAGGCTTTACTTCAGCCTAACAAATGTGCTCCACCACTAAAGCAAAATGGGCAAACATTTTACAGACCAAATAGTACTCATCAGTATTTGACAACCACAGAACTCAAAAACAGCGCAATGAATGAGGTGAATGTGCAGCTTGGAAAGCCGACGAGAGCATCGTAAGTACACACACTATATGCATAAGCACTGGGACTGATGAATCGTGTAGAGTGACCCCTTAAATAAGTAACTGTGGCTATGATGTTTTTATCATGATTTTATATTTTCATTATTTATGATCTTTTTGAAAATTCCTTTTCATATGCATTTTTGTTAAGAAACAAGTTGTAATCTCTTATTCTGGATTTCTGTTTCTGGAGAGTTTTTAGAATCAAGGTCACAACTGTATATAAATCAGTTTTGTCATTATTTTTTTAAAGTTTACTGCGAGCAAGACACAGATGCAGTTCAGCACCAGTGAATGCTTATGAACAAAGGCGACAAACACCAAGAGGTAAATACTTCATCATGACATATCCTGCATATACATGTACAGTATACTCCCCAAGTATAACTTTGCGTGGGAGAGAGAGGTTCAAAGAAATTATTTTCATAAGAACTTTTTGCCACTTTTAGATGGATGAAGTAAAATGTTATGTAACATATCAAAATACACCACATTCTTGGCAAATGTCTTTTATATTAATTTTATAAGTCAGATGTAAATTATCAGTAATAATATTTATTAAAATGTTTCCAGTGCCACCAGTCAGCAGGCCGCAGAGTGCATCCAGCGGTATTAGAAGAGCGTAAGTTTTAAAAATAATTTTATCACGTATTATGTTTAAAAATTCGGGCCACATACTACCAAAGACTAACAGTCTGACTCTTTTTTATTCTATTATGTTATGTGCTCTAAATACGTACAAATAATTTCTAAATAGGTCATTACACCCTGTGTTACAAGACTGAATTTTAAAAAATAGATATAGAAACTACTGTAGCACAAAACAACACTTTTCATATTAATTATGCTTTTATATATTTGTCTATTTTAAAATAATTTTTAAATGTGTTTAACCTCTGTTGTTCTTCCAGACCTCAGCCTCAGGTGCCAGCAGGAGAGTCTGTTCACTCTTTTCTTATTGGGGCAAGATACAACAAGTAAGTTCTGTCAAAAAAATCAAGAAATAATGAAAAGATGAAAATTAATATTACCTATTAGTGACAGTGTGAGCCTCCCTCACATCATGACAAATGAAATATTTTGGATGATTTTGTCTATGTATGAATTAAACTAAGAAGTACCCCCCCCCCCCTCCACTTTCCACCACCAACAAGGATAATGGCTATGCTAGTTATTGAATTATTTGTTTTTTCAAATGAATATTATTATTATTATTATTATTATTAGTAGTAGTAGTAGTAGTAGTAGTAGTAGTAGTATCTTTTCACCTGGAATTCTTTTTTTTTTTCTTTACGAAAAGAACCTAAGGTAAATTCTTAATCCAAACTGAAAAAAAAAAATTTTTGACAGTATGATTATTATCACATGGCATTTCATTTACAGTGCCCACTACCTAGATTCAAAAAGCCTTTTCAAGTTTGGCGTCTACATGCCTCGCAGTAACCCAGGACAGACCTTCTTTGTGGAGAAAATAAGGAAAACCATAGAGATGAAGGACGCTGAAGGCAATATAGTTGACCATGTAGATGACCAGTATGGATCTGACCAACACACGCCTGGGACACCTCAAGGTGAGGGAATTGCCGTATGGCTGACCCGTAGGTACTGTAATTACTCTATCTTTTCAATGGGCAAAAATTGTGAATTTTACAGATTGTGTGTTTTTTCAAGTCATAAATTCTCAAAGATAGAACGTACATTATTATTGCAACTAAACACAAACAAAGACTACTTCATACTTATATTCTATATAGAAAAAAAAACACAACAAAAGCCACAGAGATGTATAATTATTTTCACGATTCTAAAATCATGCATTTAAAAAATTGATAATTTTGCCACATTGAAAAGATTGGGTCATTACGGTTATAAGTGATAAACTAATATGACTAAAATTACTAATAATGTATTTGCTAGTAACAAGTTTGCTGCCATAGCTGGTCTGTTGTGTAACTGTGCTAAGGATTTCTAATACTTGAATGTATGATTTAATAATATTTATCCAATTAATGTTGTTTATTTGTATTGTTGCTTTTTATGATTAGCTTTTGTAGTGTTATTGGATTCTACTGCCATCAATTCAAAAAGAAAAAAAGAAAAGGCAAAAAGAAAACATAATTTGAAAGGAATTAAAGATAATTGAATGCAAACAAAGATAATCGCTTCATTTTTTCTCTTTTTTGTCTTTAGATGTAGGCCTAGACTTTGTATATTTATGACTTATGTCAGCCACATTGCAGCATTTGGTTAAATGATGATTGGCTATTATATATATATATATATATATATATATATATATATATATATATATATATATATATATATATATATAAAATTGAAGAAGTATTCAAATGGGAAAAAATAGAAATAAAAAATGACATCATTTTCTATGAGTGGAGTGAAACCAGAAAATATATATCGCTGCTGTTTTACATATTACATAGTATTAGTTTAATTGAATGTTGATATGTTATTTTACTCAGATTACTACTTACAAGAAAGGTAATGTATTTCTAAATGCCATTCTCATTTCACATTTATTTTAACATTATTTAATATATCCTGTTTGCCAATTATCTATTTATTTATACATATAGGTTAATTATTCAAATAGTGCATGATTTCAAGATTGAAGAATTTTTACCATATTTATTCAGTTTTACCCTGTGGCCCTTCAGTTTCCCTAGAATCAGATTTATGGGATTTGCATTTGATGATCCACTTCTCTATGTTCCAATTATTTCACGCTGAATGTTACACATGATTGCTTTATTGGAAATCATTAGTTTTAATTAGAATAAAGCACTTGATGGTGACTTGCATTTCACTTAACCTGTGACTTCAATTCCTCCATTGATTTTGAATTATTTTTGGTTTGTAAAATAATGACACTTGTTAATTTAGTTATGGAAAATGCTGTTTATGCACCATCTGTCTTTAAATATGCCTACATTATAAAAGCAGTTTCTCATTCTGTTTTTGAGGTAATGTCAAAATCACAGTACACTTGCTATTTAACATAATTGTATATTTTTGATAAAAAAAGACACTGAATTTACAAATCTGTCGAAATAAAGCAGTTACTGCTGTTGCTGCTATAAAATAATTATGTATTTTACTCTTATGTAACACTGATAATTAATTTCAAATAACATGGTTACATCTTTTATATTTTACACAAATGTGATCAACTCATTTTTCAGTAACTGGTATTTTTCATTGTAGTTCATGCACATTGTATGATTATTATTTCAAAACTTATCGTTAATATTTTTCAGAATCTACATGCTCTGACTCTGATGAAGAGAACACTCCCGGTTCAGGGTCTGGCCATGCCTCAGTCTCTGCGACCACCTTTCCTGAAGCCTCCGCCACCTACCCACCAGTTTATGAGAGGCATGCAAGGTGAGCCATAATAAAGCTCAAATTTATTTGTATGTTTTTATTCATTTAAGTTTATTTATTTATTTATTTATTTAGTTTCTTAGTTTAACTTTTAAGAAAGTGCATTTTCATTTATAAATAATAATAATAATATGGATGTTAATTAAGGGAGTGGCATAAAATAATTGTTTAACCTAATCATTTTCTGTCCATCTATCTATCTATCTATCTATCTATCTATCTATCTGATTTCCCTCATTCCAGGAATCATGGTCACCCACAGACTGAGGCAGGCCATCTCTCCAGTAGACACGACTCCTTCCCTCCTCCTCCTCCTCATCCTCACCATCTCTCCAGACCCACCCCAGCCACCTCCACACCAAACATACCCAGAAGCATGCAGGACAGCAGGAAACGGCCCTCCAGTGCCAGAGACAACAGCAAGAAGAACCTGTTCCTCTTTGACTTGCCCAAGGACATACGACTGAAGGGTAAGTGTGATATTTGGTCTGTATTTATGTGGCAATGAATTATATTAAGATTTGACTATTAAAATGATATATATTATTATCCAGTTAGTTAATTTTGTACCAGCAGCCAATTGATTACCACTAGAAAAACTTTGTTTCTTTTTAATTTGTTGGCAATTTCTCTCATTAGGTCTTATTCAGTAAATTGTGGATGTTTGACCAAGTACTTTCACTTTCATTTTGAAATCACTTGTTGCCTTACATCAATAATCAAGTTATTTTGATGAAATATTAATTAGTTAATTAATTTATATAGGAGTTAAAGTCAGTGGTGCACAGCTGAAAGGTGCCAAATATCAGAAAGCCCCAGTTCCTCTGAGTACCCACAACCCACTAATGAACAGTATTGAAGTCCAGGGTGTCCAGGCATCCGTGTGGAGCCCCAATGCAGTGACAGCAAGACCTGTGAATACTCCAAGACAGACCACCAAGACACCAGGGGTCACCACTGAGCAAAATGTGGCAGCTTTACAAGAGAAGCCAGAATCAGCAGCTGATGGTGAGGCAGTTTTTCTCTTCTTCTTCATGTATAATATATTTATTTATTTGTTGAATGCAATATGATACACTCATTATTTTCATTATTTAAATCCAAGAAAAGGATGGTGTGAATTAAATATCTTTTTCAGAGCCCTTGATCCTTAATTGTCCTTGCTAATAAAAAATATATTTTTCCCACAGGGAAATCCCAATCACAAGAGGATCTGGCCATTCCGAGCACTCTGGTGGAGGAGGACAACACTGGGCTTGCAGAAGAAAGCGCCACAGCAAGGGGTAATAGCATGCTGGACTACAGCAGTGTCACAGGCGGAGTTAATGCAAATGACATTGGGAATGACCTTGATGACCTTGATGAGCTTATTGAGGAGGTTGATGAGGCCAACAAAAGTCAGGATGAACAAGTTGATCCTGCCAATCAAGTTATTCCTGAACAGGCTACTGAACCAAAGGATGATTTGAATAATGAGGTCAGTCTCAAGGAAGACAGTCATCAACATGAAAGTGAAAACAGGGCAGTGGAGGGTGCTGGTGATGCCCACATCGAAGACAGGTCCATACCAATGGCAGTCGAAGGCGTTGTTGGCAGAGAACAAGATGAGACCAATACAGGGTTATTAATGGCAGATCAAGATGGAGTAACCAGTAAAGAAGGTGAAATGGAAACTGGAGAGAATCAAATGACTGTTGATCCCAACCAACAGGATAGTGTGCTCTTCTTTGTCACTGAAGAAGAAGATGAAAATAAAAACAAAGAAACACTAAACACTGCAGATGGAACTGGAGAACCAGATTCCAGCCCTGTAGTTAGCCAACAGGATAATGATTTGGCCCACTTAAATCAAAACAACAACAATAATAATGACTCTGTGCATCAAGTGAAACAGTCAAGTCGAAGAGCAGAAGCCTCCCTGACTATAGATATTGACTTGCTCACTCTGGAAGAGCTCACAAATACGTGATACTAAGTATGGTTATCATGGCCACAAGCCTGATGAAATGTTTTAGTGTTAATTACACCCTATGAGCTCAATTAAAAAAGTATTTAAATGCCAGTATTAATACTTGGAATTTGTAGTATTGACAGGGTATGTATTTTGGTATTTCATTGTTTAATTTATATACTGGTACATTCATTCACATGTGTTATGATTTGCATAATTTCCAAAAATGTGCATGCCTTTTGTGTCCTTTTATCACTGGCAGATATGTATGGCATTTGCCCATTACCTTTTTTACTGAAAGTTGTTCTTGCAAATGTCTATCTTTGGAGTCAGTGGATATATATATATATATATATATATATATATATATATATATATATATATATATATATATATATATATATATATATATATTTANTTTCCTGGTTTTATGAAAAAGGCTATATATATATATATATATATATATATATATATATATATATATATATATATATATATATATATATATAATTATACTATGGTACATAATTGTGTTCTCATAGGAAATTTATGTGAAAAGGGTATAAGTTCAGAAGCAATTATTTGTCATTTGTGCCATGATCAATGTTATTTTGGAGAAAAGATTATTTGCTTTCAGTTAAGTTGAAAGATATTCCCATTGGCTGACATGTCGGGGAAACTTACTGAACTGACTTTTGTTATTCTGCTATGCAAATTTAATGGAAATACCAAAGACTTGTAAAAAATGTCATAAGTAATTAACAAGTTTGAAATTGAATGAAAGTCATCTTATGTAATTAGCATTTATATTTATTGCTACAAACTGTAAATATATGATCAAAGGGTAAAACACAATATAGCATATCCTGTTGTAAAAGAGTGCTATTCAGTGTAAAAAATGCTCCATCAACTCTCCAAAGAGTTGTGACAAAACTATGCAAAATGCCATATGAAGGTTTAAAACTTTTCTTAGAAATATATATTTTCTAAAAATGATGTTGATTTGCTCAAAAATTTAACACCTGTATAAAATGCGTGTACTGGTAGATGTGAATAACTTGCATTGAATAGTGCAGAAATACTTTCAATTTATCACCATCTGTTGAATATAATACTTCTTCATTTTGCTAAAAGCATTTTTTGTGATAATATTAAATAACAGTAATGTATTTTACAATTACTTTTTAAATTGGTTAAACTGTTGATGAATTTTCACTAATATTTTTTAAAGTGAAGAATAAATTTTGGTTGAAATATGATACACCATTTTGTGTCATTGCTGTTTTATTTAAAATAACTCATTGAAGAGAAAACATCTTTTCAAAATCGCCAATGGAAGAACTGCCAGCAGATAATATTGATAAAAGTTGTAGAATAGACTAAAAAAAAAGGCTTGTTGCCTTATAACACTAATACGTTAGCAGTGCTAATAGTTTTAGAGTGTGTTAGTTGAGCCAACTCTTCCTTGTCAGGAGGAACGAAAACATTACTTATCAAACAATCATGCAGAAATAAACACTCGCGAGTGAGTAAGTTATGAATTACGTTACATTAATATCCTTTAATCGTTTTTAAAGCTAAGAAAAGTTAATTACACTGAAGGACAGCCGAATTTCATGTCAGTTATACCAAGTTACCCTTATGTATATGGTTTGAATATCGTGCTTTTTTCATAGTGGACGGAGTATCTCCGTCTCGACTGCTCTCGACTCGAGAGTTTAAAAATATTACCTTACGTTGTATTTTATTCCAGAATTTATTGAAGTAACAATTAAGGTTTACCACGCAGCCTTTCATGTATGCATCCTTGTATTCTATCTTAATTCTTTGCAGCTTGGTGTATGGGACTACAGTACATGTACACGTACTTGAATGATTGTGATCGCTGTGACGGCTGAAAATTTGTTTAAATATTTACCATTTCTCTGTCTTATGTCTGTAGTTGCAGGAAGCAAGGAAGTTACTAAAAGGAGAAATTGAAAAAGAACAAGAACAACAGGAGAGTGTTCAAATAATTTTTTAAATGTCACAAAAAATGACTTCAAAATTGTGGAATGGATCATTAGGCAGGTTAAAACTCCAACGTAAAAGGCAGAGTGTTCAAGTACTCTCTACGTGGTCTTCCTTACACCACCGTTGCCTCTCTGTTTCCACGCCTAGACAGCAGGGCCATCTTTACAGATACAGAGACAGTAAAGTGAAGCCTGTTTTCAGCCATGCAGGAGAGTTTCGGACAACTTCTTATCATTTACAAACAAGAAATGTCACAACATGGTCCCCGCTTGCTTCTGTCTTCAACAGCCAGCCTGTAGAGAAATTTAGGTTTGACTTTATTAATCAGGTAAGTAATAGTTATAGCAATTATTATTATTATTATTATTATTATTATTATTATTATTATTATTATAAATTTTTTTGTAACTTCTAAAATTCAGAATGTGAATTTATTTAGTAACTACTTTATATAGTTTATACATTACAGATTCACAGTATGTAAGAGAAACAAATGAGTTTATCATCCTCTGCATGACAGATATGCATACTAGTACCAACAAAGAAGTGAATTCAAGTTTTTGGGTGAAAATCTTGTGACCTCAAACCACCTCAATATTGATGCTAAAACACTGCTTTAATGACATATTTTACTGGCTTTTAGCATATCAGCCCTTAGAAAAATGAAAAGTTTGCAGTAATATTGCTGCAAATTTGCTTCAAATTCACTGCAAATTTGAAGCAGGCCTGATATTTTGCATAGGGAAGTTCAATACTTTTAAAAAGCTTATTAAATTTCAGGGATTGTTCTGCATCCCAGGCCTCACTGAGCCTAAAAGCTTCCACATGCTATATGAAGATGCAGAAAACATCACAGATGAACTTGTGGCCGAGGCCGTCAGTGACAAGAGAAGCAGAAAAATGGTGGAGGTCCTGGATGACATGTCCGACGTGCTGTGCAGAGTTGCTGATATGGTAATGGTTTTTGATGTTTGAAGGCGCATTTACATTGAACATAATGATTTTTGGTTTCTGAACACGCGCTAACAGAACATGATGGTTTTTGATGTCTCAAGGAGCAGTTACATTGAACATAATGGAACATAGTTTGACACTTTTTGGTTTGAAACATCATTATTGTAAAAAAAAAAGTTCAACCAAATTTTGTAAGCTGAGCTTGTGTTGCTGGTACTGACACCAATCAATTCTAAAGAAAGCAATTTAATTGCTTTATTTTATTTTTTTTCAGGCAGAATTTGTCCGTGTTGCCCATCCAGACATGAACTATTCCACTGCTGCAGAAGAAGCTTGCCTTGGTGTGAATTATCTGGTGGAAAAGTAAGCTCTATTATCAAAGTTACATATAAAGTAATCAATACAAGTAGTGTTTACAGTGGTTATTACTGTTAAGTATACTACAAAATAAAATGTGAATAAGACATACAGTACTGAGACAAATGTATGTGTCAGTATGTGCATGTGAGTTTTTATGTGTTTGTATATTTGTTTTCAGAGAGAGTATGTGTGTGAATGTTTGTGTAATGTTATCGCTAAGAGAATATAAGTATATGTGTACATGTGTGTTTATACATTTGTTTGTATTTGTGTCTATGTATGTATGTATGTGTGCCAAAAATGCTTGTTTACCTGAGGTATGTAAGTCATGAGTTGTTCATATGTGTGTTTGTATTTGTTTGTGTTTATGTATGTGTGCATGAGAGAGTGGGTGAGAGAGAGAGAGTGAGAGATAGAGAGAGAGAGTGTGTGTG